GTAAACTTCGAAGTACACCCTTCGAAGTTTCAAGTAAACTTCGAAGTGCACCCTTCGAAGTTTCGAAGAAGTTGGTTCGAAACTTCTTCGAAGTTTGGTCGAAACTTCGAAAGTTAAATTTTTACGATTTAGTTAAAATTTTGGAAAATAGCTAAATGTTTAAAACTCACTTTAGTTAATTTTTGAATAGTTAAAACATAGTTTTAACTATTTCTCACAAATTTAACTTTGTCGAAATACGATTTAGCCAAATTTACTAAATTTAGATACACCCTAATTTTTTAACTAAGCCGGTCTTTTGGGCAGTATGCAGCCATCACCATACCCCCGCTGCGCGCAGAGCTGTCCACCTTGGATTTGTTCCTACGCCCGAGTCGCTGTGAAGGAGGCCATCGAGGAGTTGGGGTGAAACCTTTGGCATCATGCGCATGTGGTTCGAGACACCGTATGAGGGGACCTTCGAGACTGCAATGGAGAACATGCTGACTACCCGCGAGCTGCTCGGACTGCCAGGTCAATCCGAGAAGCTACGATGGGTTGGGGGCGACGCAACGCTGGAGGTGGGTGGAGCGCTGGACTGGAAAGACTCAGTCTACACGCGGGAGGATGCGAAGGCTAGATCCCCGAGATTGAAAAGGGCCCAGAGATGAAGATCGCCCTGGCGGAGCTCTGATGCTACGTGGGCCTGGCAGCGGCTTTGAGTGCAAGTTGGCGTGGGGATTTGGTGGCCTATGTCACAGACAACCAGCACGCGCGTGCCTGGCTTACCAAACGCCAAGCAAAGTGCAAGTTGGCGCGTCACATTCTTAGGATCCTTGGCTTACTTGAGTTGCGACACCACTTCAAGACGATGGCGTTCTACATCCGGACCTACCGCAACGTCGCCGCCGATTGGTTGAGCAGGGAAACCAAGAAGGTGGTCGCCGAACAGATGGGGATGGACGGTGGAGGCGTAGGAGAATTGGGAGCAGTACGTCAAGGAGTCCGTCGAAGGCATCTACCACTGGCCAGGAGGTGAGATTCTTTGCAACTCTGACGCCCCAACACGGTGATCGCTGATGGCTGTGCCATGGAGGACGGTCCACGGACCTGTTGATGGAGAACATGACGCTAGTATGGTTTTTTGGCTCCGTCTCGCAAGCGCGCGTCAAGAGGTACATCAGGGAGTACCAACCCCTTGGGGCGCTGTTGGACGTGGCGGGGGCCCACTACGGACGGAGTTGACGGCCATGGTGAAGGAATTGGGCTACGGGTGTACCTGTGATGAATGTCTTACCACCCACTACGGTGATGCGGTCGCCAAGAAGAAGGTGATGATCGTGGGATGGAGGCTTAAAGGAGGCCGGGTCACGAGACAACTGGCGGCAACGCCCATTCGGAAGCGATTCCGCCCACCTGGTTGGACTTGAACACGAGCGTCAAGCTGAACAGCAAGATCTCCACCGCAAGGGGGCCGCATGCATGCTTCCCTGGCCAGCTGGCCATTTTTGGAACGAAGCAGGCAAGGATGCGAAGGAGCTGATATAGGACATCAGGGGGCCCGCGCTCGACTCCGACAAGGTGGGAGTTTGCCGAGACGCACAAGTCCAAGCTTGGATGCGCGCGTGGCAAGGAAACCACGACAACCCTCGCACCGAGTATGAGCGGTGGCTGGCAGGACGTGGAGAGATCCAGGAAGAGAAACTCGGAGGGCGCCCCAAAGGACCTCGAGCGCCACCAGATCGCCTTGTCCTCCCAAGCACCATTGGGCGGAGCAGGGAGCGGCTCTGCCTCAATGCCAATAAGGAGCTGAGGAAGATCAAGCATGATGGCTCGACGCTCCAGCAGCAGAAGCGGTGATGTCTATTACTAAGCTGTCAGAGGGGACGCGTGCGGGCTACGAAGTGGGCTGGAAGCAGTGTGCTTGTAGAGACGGCTTGGAGGCAAGAATAATGTCTACCTGGTCGGCGAGAGCAAGGACGAGCGCAAGACCGACGTGCGCTACATGACCTACCTGGTCCACGTCATGAAGAGGACTGAGGGGACGATCAAACAGCGGCTCTTCGCAATCAAGATGGGACACTTGGTGGCGGGGCGCGATGACCCAACTCTCCATATAGGACAAGAATTTGGGCTGAGCTCAATGGATACAAACGTTGGCAACTGGACCAAACGAAAGTATCGCAAGTGACTCCATCAGCAAGGAAGACAGGACCATCCTATGGGTGGCCATTGTGGTTGGTTTCTTTTTCTTCCTCACGGCGTCGGAGTTCCTTGTGACTGTTGGACGCTCATGGGGTAGCGCGAAGACATTGAAAGGCTGCGACGTGGAGGCGCGAAAGGACAACCAGCCGGTCACCAACTACCATGTGGCGGAGGAGATTGTTATCTACCTCAAGGGTTCCAAGACCGACCAGTACAATCAAGGGACGGCCCGCAACCAGTTCCGCAGCGGGGACGAACTTTGTGTGGTGGATGCGCTGGCCTGCTACCAGTCTCAGTGCATACACCCGGAACGTTTCACTGGGGCCGAGGAGAACCTCCCGTTGTTCCGCTATGATTGAAGATGGAAAGCCGATTCAACGTGGGGACATCCAAGGACTCATTCAACTAGCAGCTGTGGCGGATGGGCAAGCCAGAACGCGCTATGGCTCACACAGCCTCAGGGTTGGAGGTGCAACTGCTGAAGAGATTTGGGAGGTGGAACTCGGATGCGTTCCATGGCTACCTGTGGTAATCCCACGAACGCCAACGTGATCTGGCAAAGGGAATGGCCCAAGCAAATGGGCAACTGTTGGCGCCTAGGCAGGTGAAGAAAGGCATTGCGCCATGTTCGCCAAATGAGCGAGACTTGAAGAAGATGGACCCATCGAAAGCCGGAGCAGAGAGGCGAGTGACTTCAGGAGACTACGACACGCAGAATGAGGCGACGGAGCGTCTCACGCTCGAGGAGCTCGATGGCGCCGGCAATAGGAAGAGAAGCGAGATGGGCAGAAGGGCTGGAGGCAAAGAGACTTCTGCTTGAAGGCGCAAAACGCTTGTTTCAGTGTTTGCAAGAAGTCCGGGAAACAGGAGAGCCTGTTGAAGACGTAAGGTTTTCATGACTCCGCTGCTTTGGGGGGCTGGAGTCCGGAGGCGCAGAGCTTCTGCTTGATGGCGCAAAATGCTCGCTCCAATGTTTGCAAGAAGTCCGGGAATCAAATACCAAATGTATTGGAAGCAGGCTCTTCTGCACCGGCGAAAAATTGCGCAATCAAGGCTATATTTTCGTACGCTCGAGTCAGCGAAGCACTTGTTTTCATTGGTTGGCAGTTGTCATTTCGCCCACAACATCCAACATGTTTTGTACGCGGGCTTCTTTGGTCCAACCACATCCATTTTGCAACATGCGTTTCGTGCAGTAATAAGTCTAATCTGAATTGGTTTTCTGTGTATGGGGGAGCTGCAGGCGAGCATTCGGCCTATGGCACAGATGCCGCCCTCCGCAGATGCCTGGAGGTTTCTTCTACGCGTTCGGCGAGCTAGGGCCAGTTTGCTGACTCTTTGATTGTTTAAATTAATTGACTCAGGAGCTACGGTGGCATGGCGAAGCTTTGTGCCAGTGTGCAGCAGGCGCGTGTGCCAGCGCTCGATTTCGAAACTCAACTGATGCTACCCGACCTGAGGCGCTAATGCGCAAGAGCTTTGTGCAGAGGCCAGCGCCAGACGGAAGGCCGCAGGGAAGAGAGAGAGAGAGAGAGGTGACTTGCTTCAACCCTCCCGCTCCCTGGCTAGCCACGGTTTCCATACCGCTCAACAGCAAAAACAGTTCGAACCACGCAGCACTTTGCTTTTAATCAGCAGTCGGGTATTCGGGGCCAGAACGATTGCGAGAGGAATGGAATTGCAGGTCAGGTGCAGCCAGCTTCGTTCTCGCAGCTCTGCGCACGCTTCATCCTCCACAGCTTTGCTGTCTGACCAGTTGCAACGACGCCCAAAAAAGGAAACTTAGTCAAGTTTTTGCTCTAATTCGCAAGATAGCGATAGCTGTATAGGCTACAGGGCTTCTTGCTTCTCCATGACTGGGTGCCTGTATTCCGTTTTGGATCATTTTGGTTTGCCGCCGCTGCGCCGCTGCTGCGCCGCTGCTGCCTTGTCTTCCCACTTGTCTCGCTGCCTTGTCTCCCCACTTGTCTCCTTACACATCTCCCTCCCCACTTGTCTACCTGTCTGATCGCCGTTTGGGACTGCGTGAGGGAATCACTCCACACCCAAACTTTCCCAAATGTTATGTCTCAGTCTGTGTGAACAGGTGGTGCCTTTGACAGCTCAGGCAGCGCAAGAAGCCGTTTGCATTGTTTTCGTTTGTTTTTGTGCTACGCACCCGGCGCCGTACTTTACGGGGTGCCGGCGCTGGTGTCAAGGCGGCGTCGGTGGGTACTGGTGTCGGTGTCGACAAACCCAGGCCTGGCTGCCTACAGCGCTTGGGCACCGGGGTCAATTTTAAAGCAATGTGCGTAGTACAGTGAATTCTGGGGCGACAGCTTGGTTGGCCGCTCGACCGCTGCTGCCTCCTTCACACGAAGATGCCGACCGCGAGCGCTTGGCTTTGGCTCTGTTGGATGCAGTGAAGCGTGTCCAGGTTTTTGGCACAGTATTGCTAGAACTGCAGGATCGACCTCTCGCCCAGCTCACCTTTTTTTCCAGGATAGGGCGCCGTCTACACTCCGCAAGCATTATGTGGATGGCAGAAGTGGACCCGGGTTTGTCGAGACTCAGCCATGTGCCCGACGCTCATCAGTTCTTGGATTTCTTACAGGCTTTGGCAGCAGGCGCATGTGAAAATCGCGGTGGCAACCGTGTTTTTTGGCGCCGAGTGCGCGCGCTCAAGTTCATCTGGGCACGCCGAGAAGTGGAATCGGGCGCACCATTCTCTCTTTTCATTTGACCAGTGTAGATTGGGTGTGCAATAATCTGCGGCAGAATCTCCCGTGTGACCACAGTCCCGAGGACCCTGCGGACCGGGACGACGGGCGCGGGCGCGAGTGTGAGGTGCGATGGGTGGTGCTGGCGCGGGCGCGGGTGCTGGCGTGAGGTGCAAGTGCCAGTGTAGGCGCAGGCGTGGATGAGGTTCAATGGTGGTGGAGGGCCGCGGTGTGCGAGCATGTATTTAGAACTTGCACGTTTTAGTCTTGGTATGGCTTAGTCGTCAAGATAATGTTTAGTTCTTTGACCTTGTGTCATATCTCAGTCACATATTCACTCAGCCACCAAGCTTTAGAACAGATAACCCTAAGCTGAGACAGCATCATGTCCTTTGGGTTGTTGGCACTCTGCATGAAGCGCAAACAGCCAAAAGTCACTTCGCTTTCCATTTACATTCAGATTTTGCCAGAAATTGGGAGGTGTAGGGTAGGGACTGAGAGGGAGAGAGGGAGGTGGAATTGACTGACCTCGAAGCAGGCCCGCTATCCCGCTGAATATCTCGCTACGAAGCAATGGGGAAGGCCGGAAAGTCCGGATGCATCGTTCTTAAGCAGGATCCACAACCCGCTACAAAACGGTGCATATGTTGTCGATGACTCTCCTTTCACTTTGGCCGAACTCGACTATGTTCTTTCCCGCTCCAAGCCCAATAAATCACCCGGATTTGACGGAGTACCCTCCGAATTGTTCAAGTGGCTGGATCAGACCAACCGTCAACTTGTCCTTGCTGCCGCAAACAAATGTATAGCAGCTGGGGACAGACATGCTGCCCCATCGTCCCAATGCGGTTGTAGTTTCCATTTGTAAAAAGGTAACTCCTCGTTGCTGTCTAATTATCGCCCCATCTCCCTTCTAACCTCTTGCTATAAACTTGTAGCTGCCTTAGTGAAAGGGCGGCTAGACAAAGGTCTGGATGGGTGGCTCATGCAAATTGCTTTCGGAAAGCCAGAAGCACTGCTCAGGCTATTTTCTTAGCAAGACGTATTCAAGACCTTTCTGAAAAATCGCACACCCCTCTCTTCCTCTCTTCTCTCCTCCGCTCCTCCTCCCCCCCTCCCCCGGAAGCGGCCCCTCCTCCTCCTCCCACCCTTTTGATTGGGAAAAGGCGTTTGATAAAGTGTTCCAAAATAAAATGATTGAAACCGTGTTTCGATTAAAGGTCACCACATGCATAATCGGTCTTATCCAATTCTTTTATAGGGAACCCACATTGGGCAAGATTCCTCTTGGAAATGCAAAGGTGCGGGGATCCGTCAAGGATGCCCATTATCCCCATATCTTTTCTGTTTGGTCATGGAACCATTGTTTGCTGATTTGTGTGGAGCAAGAACTGAACACCCCCAGACAACAGCAACCAATAAACGACATTCATTTTGCTGAGATGTTGTACGCTGATGACACTTTAATCTTCGGCGCCAATACTCATTGCATTAATGTTCTACTACATGCTATCGAACGACGTTCTGCATATTTGGGTTGAAACTGAACTATGACAAACGCGAAAAATCTCACCTCTAACCAACTGCAATCCTCCGTTCATTTCGCACCGAATGGTCCAACACAAGGTGCCAAGGTTTCACGGAAAAGCTCTGCTACATATCTCGGCGCCCTGTTGTCGGACTCCTTTGACAACCGGGCAGAGATCTCCAATAGACTGAGCGACTGCATAGCAACGTGTAACAGGCTTGAGATTTTCTGGCCAAAAGCTAACGCCAGTGTCAAATGGAAAATACAAGTCTTCAACGCTATTGTTAGGTCTAAACTCCTCTACAGTCTTGAACGCATACAGCTAACTACTGCTGATATATCTCGCCTCAATGCCTTTCAAAACAAACCTCTCAGAAGGATCTTGGGAATCCCTCCAACGTTCATTGATCGGGAACAAACAAACGCTCGAATTTACGCTAGCATCCAGCAGGAACATGGATGTACTTTTGAACCTTTCGGGCGGACATGGAAGAAAGTAAATGCCGCCTATTTGGCCACATTTTGAGGGCGCCTAGGTCGGATCCGTGGTCCAAGTCGTTCTTGAATTTGACGGTGCCACACCTAAAACTTCGCTTTTTCGGAGACCAGTTAGGCCCCGAGCAGATTGGGTTGTTGAACCTTACAAGGATTCCTGCTCTTTGCTGTTTGGACCCCACACTGTTTTTGATATATCGGACTACCAACTTCTTGGTAACATCAAACAGGCGGCTACAATTAAATAGAACTGGTCCTTTTGCCACACGCTTACGATGCATGGGACTGCGCCAAGTCCCAAAGGCTTTCGAGCCTCTCATGGTACTGCTCTTGGTACTCTCAACTATTGTGCTGTCTGATGCGTAGTGTATTTGCGTGTTCGGCTGGTTTCTATTCTCTTGTACTTTTGGTGGAGTGTTCTGTTGCACCTATTTCTTTCACAGCTCTGCAAGCTTTGTAATTCCCTGTCTCTATTGTTCTTTTTTCCCTCCTTCTGCGTGGCTGTTGGGAGCCCATTTGTGCTCGCTGCTCGCGGGCAAATACGAATTTTTGCAAAAATGCGATTTACGCAAATTGGCAACCTAAATTTTTCAATTGGCGTAAAGCCATTGAAAATGTGAGTTTACTAATTTCGAAGACTCAGGGTACCCTAGCTAGCTCAGCACGCTCAACGAACTCGACAAGCTCGGCGAGCTCAATGACGAGTTGAAATTGGCCACAGCTTTCGCTTGCAGGAAGCGTGCGCACCCATCTTGGAGACGCCGTGGACACTGCGAGCTCGACGAACTCAACGGGCCCGACCACAGGGTGCGCTTGCAGAGCAGCACGTCGCGCGGGGAGATCGATGCAAAATGGACACCGCGAGCTCGACGAGCTCAAGGAGGTCAACAAACTCTAAGGTCAAAGATCAGCAAGGTCAACGAGCTCAACGAGCTCAGCAAACTTAGCGAGCCCGACGACGGTTTGAAATTGGTCACAGGGTGGCAGCAAGCACACCCTGCGAGATCGATGCTATGGGCACAGCGAGCTCGTCGCTCAACGAGCTCAGCAACGTCAAAAGCGAGGTCAACGAGATCAACGAGCTCAGCCCCAACGACAAGTTGACATTGGCCACAGGGTGTGCTTGCAGCAAGCGCACCCATCTTGGAGATGCAGTGGACACTGCGCCAGATAGCAGCAGCTGTTTCCGATTTTCAGCGGTGGTTGATTGGGTCCGTTTAGCGGCTCCGTTGTTAAGTTTCCTTGTGGCGTTCATAGTGCCAACTTATGACTGGCCTTAGCCCTGCTGTATGGCCCGCAAGTGTTGAACATACGCGGCCCCTGCCTGGATCAAACCTTCCTGCGCCGTCGCGGTTTGAATATTGTGATGTTTTGACAATTCTTGATGTTTGTTTGAGAATCGCGTATTCGCAGGGGCTTTGTTGAGGACAGGGACGCAGGTTGGTGCGAGCCACCGCCAAACCACGCGCAACGCGTTATTCAGTCAGAAGCGCTCAGACTTGGACTCACCCTTTGCGATCCTCTCTCCTTTCTCCTCCCGCCCACTTGCTCACCCTCCTATAGTCAGATAGATCTTGGGTCTTGTTTTTTGCTAGCGGGGCTGACAACCATGCCAAGAGTTGCGCACCATTCAGCAAGCCACTGACTGATTCTTGTCATGTTGCTTCTGTTGCTTTTGTTGCTTTGATTTCATATTGGAAAAACTTTGCATGTTGTTACAGTTCACTATGCTGGCATCTTCCAAGTTATATATCGTATTTTTTTGATGGCGACGCGGTGCGTACACAAAAACTGTTTCTACGGAGCTCAATTCATTATTCTCATAAAAGTACCATTGTTTACAAAGTTTACACCATTCAGAAGGGCATCAGGGGTGGGCTATTGATTTCGGTTTCATGATCATTGTCAACGGTTGCGTCTATTGCGCAAGACCATCGTCCGCTTCACTTCGCATTCCTGCTCACAACGTTTTCATCGGGTTCACCAAACGCATTCACCACACCATTCTTTGTTTCAACACACATGCGAGCGTAGTCAAGTTGGTAGTCCGTCAAAGGACTTGATTCGAGCGATTATGTGCAGCGCACAGATGCAGTTTCGCTTTGCATTGTTTATGTGTTCTTGCCTGGACGTAGGATCAAGCGCGTGTCACTTGTCAGCTCGTGATTTGTCCGTCTCCGGCTTCGCTTCGATTGATTGTGATCTTGGAAAAATTGTTTCGCGCTCGCAAGTCTTGGGGCCGCAGCATGTCCGTGGCTGGAGTTTTGCAGACGCAAGAGCCCCCAAGACATGTTCTTTTCCAGACGTGAGAATTAAGAAACGCAGGAATAACGACATCAAGCACTGCGCGAAAGGACATAACAAATATACACGATCAAAGATGAATAAGTCAACCTGGCGTTTGTGTTTGTCTCACGTCGCGTGTGTTTCTTTTGGTCAGCTTATCGCTTTCAACTGTTTTGGATCATTTGTACCGATCTCTTCGCCGTATGCGCAGCCGAAAACATATGAGTCTAACGGGCTGATGGGTGCAAGTGCAAGTGATCAGAATCTGCTGTCACCCTTTTGGGGGATGATTTCTGGGCCGGTCTTGCACGCGCTACCTCGCACAGGGTCGGGAAATTTATATCTGTTCTTGAATTTTGGTTTAACATTCTTGAGTTATTGACATCACCAGCATTTTCATCAAACCGTGGTTTCAGCAAAGGATACTGGTGTTTTTCACCACATTACTATGTGGGGTTCTTGTTTTTCACCCTGCGCCCGCCGCTCCGCCTCCGCCTCCACCTCCGCCGCCGCCGCTCATCTTACACCACCTATCTTACAGTACTCATCTTACACCACCCATCTTACACCACTCATCTCACACCACCTCTTACACCACTCATCTCACACCACTCATATTTCACCACTCACCTTACACCACCTATCTTACACTACTCATCTTACACCGCCCATCTTACACCACTCATCTTACACCACTCATCTCGCACCACTCCTCATACACCACCTTTCTTACACTACTCATCTGACACCGCCCATCTTACACCACCTATCTTACCCTAGTCATCTTACACCACACATCTTACACCGCTCATCTCACACCACTCATCGTACACCGCTCAGTCTTGCACCACCGAGTGCAGATTTCGTGGCAGGCGCAGTATGCAGAGCCTTCAGGAGGACTGGGTGGACGCGTGGTCGCCGCTGGGATTTCGTGGTAGGCACAGAGCCTTTAGGAGGACTGGGTGGACGCGTGGTCGCCCCTGGGCCGCGGCTGCCTGTCGTGCAGAGTTCGTGGTAGGCGCAGCACTCTGTGAACCTGGAGTGCAGATTTCGCGGTACGCGCAGCGCTTGGTGAACCTCAGATCAGGTTTCGTGGCAGGCGCAGTTCACAGAGCCTTCAGGAGGACCCGGTGGACGCCTGGTCGGTGCTGGGCTGCGGCTGCCTGTCGTGCAGATTTCGTGGCAGGCACAGCGCTTTGTGACCCTGCGGTGCAGATTTCTTGGTACGCGCACAGATTTCGTCGCAGGCGCAGCCGCTGGGCCGCGGCTGCCTGTTGTGCAGATTTCGTGGCAGGCGCAGCGCTTTGTGAACCTGGAGTGCAGATTTCGTGGTACGCGCAGCGCTTGGTGAACCTGCAGTGCAGATTTCGTGACAGGCGCAGTACGCAGAGCCTTGAGGAGTACTGTGTGGACGCGTGGTCGCCGCTGGGCCGCGGCTGCCTGTCGTGCAGATTTCGTGGCAGGCGCAGCGCTTGGTGAACCTGGAGTGTAGATTTCGTGGTCCGCGCAGCGCTTGGTGGCCGTGGAGTGCAGATTTCGTGGTAGGCGCAGTACGCAGAGCCTTCAGGAGGACCGGGTGGACGCGCGGTCACCGCTGGGCTGCGGCTGCCTGTCGTGCAGAGTTCGTGGCAGGCGCAGCGCTTTGTGAGCCTGGAGGGCAGAATTCGTGGTAGGCGCAGCGCTTGGTGAACCTGGAGTGCAGATTTCGTGGCAGGCGCAGTACACAGAGCCTTCAGGATTACTGGGTGGCACAGAGCCTTCAGGAGGACTGGGTGTACGCATGGTCGCCGCTGGGCCGCGGCTGCCTGCGGTGCAGAGTTCGCGGTAGGCACAGCGCTCTGTGAACCTGGAGTGCAGATTTCGCAGGCGCAGTGCGGAGAGCCTGCAAACGAGCGGATGGACGCGTGGTCGCCGCTGGGCCGCCTGGCGTGCAGATTTCGTGGCAGTCACAGCACTTTGTGAACCTGGAGTGCAGATTTCGTGGTAGGCACAGCGCTTGGTGAAGTTGGTCACACACCGCCTCTCACCACTCATCACACACCACTCATCTTACACCACTCATCACACACCACTCATCACACGCCACTCATCCTACACCACTCATCGCACACCGCTCATCACACACTACTCATCTGACACCACTCATCACACACCACTCATCACACGCCACTCATCACACACCACTCATCTTACAGCACTCATCACACACCACTCATCCCACACCACTGATCACACACCACTCATCCCACACCACTCATTTTACACCACTCATCACGCACCACTCATCACACACAACTCATCACACACCAGTCATCACACACCAGTCATCGCACACCACTCATCACGCACCACTCATCTCACACCGCTCATCACACACCACTCATCTGGGACCACTCATCTCACACCGCACATCACACACCACTCATCTTACACCACACAGCGCACACCACTCATCTTACACCACTCATCACACACCACTCATCGCACGCCACTCATCTTACACCACTCATCACACACCACTCATCACACGCCACTCATCCTACACCACTCATCGCACACCGCTCATCACACACCACTCATCACACACCACTCATCGCGCACCACTCATCACACACGTACCACTCATCACACAGCGCTCATCTTACACCACTCATCACACACCACTCATCACACACACCACTCATCTCACACCACTCATCACACACCGCTCATCACACACTGCTCATCTTACACCACACATCACACACCACTCATCACACACCACTCATCACACACCCCTCATCACACACCACTCATCACACACCGCTCGTCACACACCGCTCATCACACACCACTCATCACGCACCACTCATCTCACACCGCTAATCACACACCACTCATCTTACACCACTCATCACATCACACACCACTCAGCACACACGACTCATGGCACGCCACTCATCTCATTCACTTTTATCGTCCAGTATCTTTCCGTCCTCTTTTCTTATCAGTCTCTACTTCTCGTTGGTAGTTCTTACCCCAGCGGAGTTCAAGATCTTGGAGTTTTTGCATGCGCGGTGGTCCAAAGTGGAAGGCAGCTATAGAGGTGAAATTCATGTGGAACTATATTCTTGGGTCACAAACAGCTTCGGAACCGGAATTGTTGAGCGTGTATCAGTTAAAGCAACCTTGCTTAGACGCCCTGCTGTTCAACCGCGTGAAATTGTTTTCCAATTATGGGCTGCGGGGTCAAGGGGCGAGACATTTGGGATTTGCGCGTGTGTTGTGGACGAGATTTTGTTTGATCGCACGCCGCATAGGTGTCGTTCCACCGAGCGCGCTGCGCATAGCATGTGTGGCGCTCTTTCTTGCAAGTTGAAATCCAAGCTTTGAAATTCTTGCATAGTATTCCGAGCGAGGCCATTGCCTGCCTATCTTTAGTGATTTGGCAACTTTGGTTCCAACTGAACAATCGTAAAAGAAGTGTTGCAGGATCTAGTGTGGAGAAAGAAAAGCGCCTTGGCGCCAACCCCGGTGATCTTGGTATACAAAAGATGCTGTTTTGGGGTTGCAAGCTTTGTTGTGTTGCGCGCGCAGGAATTGTTTTGGAGCCTCGGCTGCGAGCATAAGAAAGACCGTGCTCCATGATCACGTCGCTTTCCTTCCCTTGTCTTGTTAGTTGTGAGTTCCATGTCCATACGCTTTGTAGGGCTATTGACCAAAGCCCTTTGGGCTTAAGAATATACATCGAGGCAGTGCGCACGCAAAATTGAATGAAGGGCAGCCATCAAACACACTCAACAAAAGCTTTCTGGGAAACTACATGAGCCTTTTGAGAAGAGCTTGCCTTGAGCAAACCGAAGTGAATGACTCTTGACACATATTCTAGGATGCCCAACTGGAGGCTTGGAAGTTGTTGTTTTCTAGCGTGGTAATATTGTTAAACTGTTACTTTGCGGGAATTTCAATTTGCTAGGGGTGAGCCATGCCAATTCCACACAGTAAGTGGAAGCTAGTGCCAACAAGCAGCTGACGGCGCAACATTGGTTGCGTGCGCGTCGGTGAAATGGAGGCGGCTCCCATGTTTGGCTGCTGGCGCTGCCAAATTGCAGCGCGCTGAAGCTTTCAACCGAGGCTTGGCGTACATACATAGACGGTACTACCGTATTACAAAATATTATATGTCACGCTGGCCTTAACGAAAAAAGATGCAATGTATTTTGTTTACAATGAAATTCTTGTACAGATCGGCCTGAATGCTCAAGTGATACAGTGTTCCGTGTAAAATGAAGTATTGGATAAAATTGATGTATTGATGTAGGAAATAGATAGAGGTTTGGACAACGTAATTTTTTGAATTAGACATATCTTTTATATTCATATACGCGAATGTAAACACATACTCGAAAAAACACCCACACAATGTTTGACACTCTTGTGGGACACTCTTGCGGAACACTTGTGTAAAACACTCTTGCGGGACACTCTTGTAAAACACATTTGTGGGACAGTCTTGTTCGACACTCTTGTGGGGCACTCTTGTAGGACACTCACATTCTTGTGGGATACTTTTGTGGGACACTCTTGTGGGACACTTTTGTTTGTCATTCTTGTGACTCACTCTTGCGGGACACTTTTGTAGGACACTCTTGCGAAGCTCCCTTGTAGGACACTCTTGTGGGACACTCTTGTAGGGCACTTTTGTAGGGCACTTTTGTAGGGCACTCTTGCTGGACACGGGACACTCTTGCGGGACACTCTTGTGGAACACTCTTGCGGAACACACCTGTGCGATATTCACTCTCGTGGGGCGCTCTTGTGAAACACTCTTGTAGGACACCCGAGTGGGGCATTCTTGTGTGTCGCTCGTGTGAGACACTCTCGTAGCTGGGCACTCTTGTGGAACACTCTTGCGGAACACTCTTGCAGGACACTCTTGTGGGACTCTCTTGTAGGAAGCAGCTCTTGTGGGACACTCTTGTCGGACACTCTTGTAGGACACTCTCGTGGGACACTCTTGTAGGACACCCTTGTGGGACACTCTTATATGTCACTCTTGTGGGACACTCTCGTAGGACACTCTTGTTCGACACTCTTGCGGAACTCTCTTGTAAGACACTTTTGTGGGATACTCTTGTAGGACACTTTTGTTGGACATTCTTGTGGGGCACTCTTGCGGGACGCTCTTGTACACTCTTGCGGGGCACTTTTGTAGGATTGCAAGGATGTCCCACAAGAGTGCCCCACAAGAGTGTCCGACACCTATGTGTTACGAGAGTGTCCCACGAGAGTGACATACAAGAGTGTTCTAGAAGAGAGACATTTGGGAGTGCCCCTCCTACAAGAGTGTTCTACGAGAGTGATAAACAAGAGATTCCTACAAGAGTGCCCCGCAAGAGTATCCTACAAGAATGTCTTACTTGACTTGTGGGATACTTTTGCTTGTCATCTTGTAGGACACTTTTGTATGGCACTTAGACTTACTCTTGCGGAACACTCTTGCACGACACTTTCGCATAACACTTTCGTGGGACACTTTTGTGGGTCACTTTGGCGGAACACTCTTGTAAATTGCTCTTGGGATCACTTTTATGGAGCACTTTATATTGCATTCTTGTGGGACGCGCCCTGTTGCGAGACATTCTTACAGGTCACTTTTGTGGGATATTTTCACTCTTACCGGACATTTTTGTGGGACACTCTTGTGGCGCATTCTTGTGGCGCATTCTCGTCGGACACTTTTGTGGGACACTTTTGTAGGATTCTGCAGGGCAGGACACTCGCATGGGGGACCACTAACGTCTCCAAAAGGCAACCGTCACGACTCTAGAACACGCGTTTCGTTCGAGATTTCCGTTAAAAGTTGCGCGTTAAGTCTACCAAACAAGCATTTCGTATGCAATGTCTTCTAAATGTCTCCGAAACGAGCGTCGAGACTTCAAGTGCGAAATCTGCAAAGGAAGCGTTTTGCACGAGACTTCGTCCAAAAGTCACATATTAAATCTCCAAAACGAGCGTTTCGTACGAGATTTCCTCCAAAATTCATGCACTAAGTCTCCGAAATGAGTATTTCGTACGAGACTTCCTCAACAATTCACAAATGAAATCGGTTTTTGGATCGTCGTTCATTATATCTACAATGAAGACCTTCACCAGCAGCAGACATAGACACACACACAAACAGGGCACACATCACACACAGAGACCCACGCACTGCCTCAACTTACTCGGACACACACACAGACAGAGACTCATACACACACACACATAGATACACACATACAGAGACCCACACACTGCCTCAACTCACTCGACTTAACACTTCACACTGAACACTTGACAGATAATTTACACTCTGACTTCCTACGTGATGAAAATGCGTTCGGGCTACTCGTCGTCTAGTTTTCCTAAGAATCTTTTTGAACATTTCGAGAGCATATGTTTGAACATTATCGAGTGCGTATGAAAATATATGTACGAAAGGTCGCCTCCGAGGGGATAAATCACTATGTCAAACATTGCATTTTTGTTCCTGCCTTTCGCGTTCTTTTCTCTTCCCGCTGTCCTACCTTTCGTGTCTCCCTCCTCTCAAGTTTTGATAACAAAATAAAATTGTGAAAGTTATATGCAAAATTATATTATTATATAATATTTTATTATTAATTAACAATATTGAAAATCGCAATCTTAGTTCCACCAGAGCGCTGGTTGATTTCCTGGGGTGGAGCTATATTTGTCTTGATGTGATTTTTTTTTTTTCATTTGATACATCCCTCCCATCCATGCAGCCATTTTGGCATTCGACTGCGCTTGTAATTGTCCTACTGAGAAGCCCGGTCCCAAGTCTTGGGGACTTTCTGATATCCCTGGTTTTCCTTTTGTAGAGAGTCCGGCGCGAGGGTTGTCCATCCGGTTTCAGGGATGGGTAGAAGCAGCTTTGACGAATCTCCCACAGGTTGCTCTAATGCAAAAATTAATGAAATTTGGTCGTCGTCGGGTTTAGGCCCTATTGCGTCACGCTCATATTGCAATAAATTGAACAGATCATATCAAATCGATTAGGGAGGGTATTGCCACCTTCAAGGGTAAATCAATGTTCAGGCCAAACTGGCTGCCCCTGTTCCACCCACACATATAACCCCTTCAAGTCTATCCGGACATCTCAAGGGTGTTTTAATGGAATGCCTCTAGATCTTTGGATTATGTCATTTAGGTCCATTGGTGTGATGCCAACCCCTACGATCTCATCATTGTTCAGGAATCTGGATGGTCGATGACCAATGAATGGAGCAGTACCCCTTAAAAACCTGATACAACCCAGTAACCCAATACATTCGGCAGATCGTTTTGCCTCAATCTTCGTCATGGTTCGAGTAGCCGTAGCACGTCCAGACCAAATTTCGGTTGCGACCCATGACCCTGGCGGACTGCTCCAGATACGATTAACATTGTACAGACCACACGAGGTTGCAGCCATTTATCAATAGGCGTGGTCCACTGGTCATCGCATCCAGCCCACACTGACCAAACGTCAGCGCGTATGGAATATGTTATGTAAGTGTCTAGAAAATATACCTCAGAGACATCTGTTGCTTGTTAGTGGTGATTTTTAACACCCCTCTTAATCATATACCACACTTAGTCTATTCCATGGATCCAAAGTATTGATATGCTGCCCAGCGTGACAAGCAGACTTTGTCTTAATTGGTCCAGGATTATGCACTAATAGCGCTCCATGTGCCACATTCAAGCAGGAGCCCCTAGTAGCTTCTTGTCATTAGTTACGACGCCAAAAGCCCCTAGTAGCGTCCTTGCTTCTAGCAACAAGGCCAGGAGCCCTTAGTAGGTTCTTGTTACTAGTAGCGATGCTAGGAGCCCCTAGTGGCGTCTTTGCTCCTAGTAGTAAGGTCAGGGGCCCCTAGTAGTTTTTTGTTACCAGTAGCGACGCTAGGAGCTCCTAGCTGATGTGATCATCACCTTCCATTGAATTGGTCCATTTCCTAATGATTTCCACACCCCAAGTCCTATCACGCAGTTCGACCGATTCCGCATTCGCCAGGACATAAAGCAGAATACGCCCGGATGGCAAGCCTTCCTGATAGAGGCCCGACAACATCTCGAGGACCAAGCACAGGACCACACTGGCCCTAATCTGATTAATTCTATTGAAAATCATCTCAACGCCTTGTGTCGTGCCTGGATTCCCAAAATCCACACCCAGATTGCCGACACCGTGCCCACGACATCCCTGTCCACCCAAATGTGGTAGGTTCGCAAGGCCTTCGTGATCTGAAGGGATGCGTAATGATTTCCGTTTTCCTGGGATAGCACCACCTTGCCTAGTTTCGCCGTTTGCGCAAATAGATTCGACAATTCAGCCGTCAGAACAAGAAACAACGTTTTAAAGAATTCTTGCAAGAATGGACGGATCTTGCATTGCGCAATCAGACCTATGACTGATTTCGCAGAGTCCGGAAGCTGTGCCCAAAGCAAAGACCGCTGAAGATACAAATGTTCGATCCTCATGGCCAACCGATATTACCTCCCCAAGAACTATAAACCCATTAAAGATTATCTAGGCCAATTGTATCATAACCCTGACTTTCGTCCACAAAACATGTCCCCGCACAATCAACTTCCATTTACTAGCGCCGAAGTGTTGCAAGGACTTCGAAAGCTCCCACGCATGAAAGCTCTTGCGCCACCATGCATGCCTGCTTTGATCTGGCATCAGTTGGCCTCCGAACTTGCGGAGCCAATATTCC